CTAACAATCTGTTACAGGAATTGGAGGCCTAAATTAGAAAGTGGATTTCTTCACAAGACTGGAGAATAGAGGGTTTTTTTCCCCATTAACACTGAACACATCTTTGTTAGAACATTCAGTGCTGGCAACTGTACACATGCGGCACATTTCGCACACTGAGGTAGCTTCTCTTTGGGAGATACTTTGGCATAAGATCATATTAGAAAAGTTTACTGAGGGGGGACTTACAAAAACAGAGCTTTTGGTAAACTTCACTGGGATTTGTACTGGAAACCTAATAAAAGTCTCACATTACAATTGGTAATTTCCCCTTTAGGTGATCTCACTTTTGCACCAACATTTGAGATGAGCCACATCCACCCTGATTTAATTAGCACTGATGTCATACTCCCATCTCTGTATCCTTGCCTTTTTTTGTTTCTTTTCACTTCAAGCATCCGAGGAACTGAGCTGTCTCTCATGAAAACTTATGCCTTAATAAAATTTGTTAGGCTTTAAAGTGCCAACAGACTCCTGGTTGTTTTTGCTGAAACAGACAACCCGGCTACCCCTCTGATGTAATAAACTTTAACTCCTGTTTTGTAAGAAATAACCTGTGCTTAGAATCTCTCTAAGGGTACATCTACACAACAGTTTTATTTTGGAATAACTAACATTATTCCGAAATAACATAGTCCGTGTCTACACTACAGGCAGTTATTTTGACATAAAGCCAACCCAATGGCAAGCTGAAGGACTTCTTACTCTGACTCCTGAAACCCTCATTTTACAAGGAGTAAGGGAAGCTGGGGGAACAGTGCTTTACCTTTGACTTCCTGCTGTGTAGACAGCACTAAAAGCTGAAATAAGCTACTTTAACTTAAGCTACACAATTGATATAGCTCAAGTTGCATAGCTTATTTCGGTTTTAGCACTGGTGTGTAGACATGCCCTAAGTCTAACAAAGAGGACAGAGAATTCCACCAATACAATGTAGAAGTATGGACAACATAAAAATGAAAAGAATGATTTCAACAGGAGTTGTGAGAGAAAGCAGGATCTGATCCATTTTATATAAATCACACAGATGTAAAATACAAGTACCTTATTTTCCTATATCTGAATTTTCAAATTGAGATTAAATGCACAATTTTGAGTTTGGCCCTCAGCACCAGGATAAATTTTAGTGTCAGTGATCAGACTTCAATAGATAAAGTGTTAATCTTTCAGAGCGCACTAGTGGATTAATTTTGGGGTATTAGCAATCTCACCTTCCTTATGCACCCAAAACTGCCATTAAATGTACTAGGAATATTGGGGCACCCAAAGGTTGCAACAGAGGGATTATAAATATTGACTTTTTAATTGGCAACCTCCATCACTGTAAGTACTGTGAAGGCTTTTAGTTTTTAAGAGACGACAAACAGAAATTCTTCAGAATAATACATCATTCCTAGAAATATGCCAACTGAATGATAAAGCAATGTAAATATCCAATCTGTAGCTTAACTCACAAACCTCTTTAAAGTATGAGGAATCCAGCTGACACTATTAGGACAGTTGTGCACTTTGCCATCTATATTTGGTGCCTTCCAAAAAAAAAAGGGAAGGAAAAACTTTGATTATATTAGACATGAGTGAAATTAACTATCATTTATCAGTGTATTAAAATCAAAATCTACAGTGATTGCAGAAGATCTTTTGAGAAATGTCAAATGGGATGCCTATTTCTTGAGCATATAAAATACAACCGGTAACCAAAGCAACTGAGCTAAAATGCGTAACCTATGATTCCATTTGGATGTGTATTTTTATGGTTACATGCATTTCCACAAGTGATAGACACTGATGAGCTAGACACTTAAATCTGCTCCCTCTACCAATGCTTCTCTTAGTACTCTTAGACACTGCCAAGTGCAAAGCAAAATGCAGTACTATGACCTAATTTGAGGTTGAGTGAAAGACTTACAATGAACAGAAGTTCCTTCAGGGATTTCTTACCAATTTGGTTGTAGTCAATAGGAAAGAAGAGCTGAATAAAGGTGACAGAAAAATATCAAATTTTTTTTGGTGGGGAAATCTCTTCTTCTAAAATTTCCTAAGGGAGAGAATATAAATTGTAGAAGTTCCTAGTATTCATTGAAGATTTTCAGTTTTCTGTAGCAATTTGTATTGAAAACTAAATATATATTTTTTTAATTTAAATGTCACCAAAAAACCCAGAAAAATGCATAAAATTATTGCACCCCCAAATTTAGATGTGTCAAAAAAAGGCAACTTTGTCTGAATTTTTTTCTATTACATATTTTAATCTCCTCTGAAGTTAAAGTTTGGAGAAGTGTATGAATAATTCATGTATTGACTTTTCCTCACATAAAATTATTACAAAGCACCTATAGAGCTGGCAAAACACTTCACAGTCCCTAGGGAAATCAATCTGTATTAACGTAAGTGAGTAATACAGTATATATAGTTCTGAAGTAAAATAGATCTAGCGTTTTTTTATTTTTAAAGATTTTGGTTTCAGGCCTTTAATAAATAGATGAGGAAGCAAGCAGGCCTTTTCCTTTTCTGTCAAAGTTCCTCCTTTCCCCCTGAGAACCTGATTGGGTTTTTGGTCCCAGTCCTGCCTTTCAATTATTTTCTCTGTCTCTGCGAGGTCTAAGCAGGGTGTTAAGTCCCTGCTTTCTGGACTCTGTCACAAAGCTATTTTCCAAGCCAATACAGGCAGTCCCCGGGTTACGTACAAGATAGGGACTGTAGGTTTGTTCTTAAGTTGAATTTGTATGTAAGTCGGAACTGGTACATATTGTAGGGGAAACTCTAGCCAAACATTTCTCCAGAGCTCAGTTTTATTCTCCCACACCTCACTTCCCTCAGTCCTTTATTCTCAAGCTGAGGTGTCTGCTGAGAAAAGCCGCTCCGCATCTCCCTGGTCTGCTGGGGGGTGCGCTAGCTTCGCGTCTCCGTGGTCTGCTGGGGGAAAGCAGCTAGTGCGGGGCTGCCTCACCCCGTTTGTAAGTAGGGATCCGATGTAAGTTGGATCCATGTAACCCGGGGACTGTCTGTATCACATTCTCTTGACATTTATGAACAGCAGAGTGTAAAGTAGGTTGCTTCTGCTCCTGGTTTTAGAAGACTTGTTTTTTAAAGGCATCTGTGATAATGGCTCATTAGAAAGAGCTGAGCATGTGCTTTCTATGAATGACAGTCAACAGAAGATGCTTACCAAAAATGATAGATGAAGTAATTTCGGTTATGGCTTGCACAACAGAGCAATCAGATAAGTACAATGATTAAATCACTTTCAAAAAGATAATCAACCTGAAAGGGAAAAAATGCCTAATGCAGCTAAAAATTGAAATAAGATTCAATCCATTGAAAAATTATAAGTGCAAATTAGTATAGCTCCATTGACTTCAACAGAGTTTACATCAGGTGAGGATTTGGTCCTATGCCAAAATTTTTATTTTTGTATCTACATATAAGAACACATTCCTATATAATGTACACCCCTATGTGTGCACATACATAGGTCATTAACTACTGTATGTTGCACAATCTGGCAAAGATATTGTGTTTGTTTTATAAAGTATTTGATTGCTATGGCTCGAATCCCCAGTGGCTCTGAAGCAGCACACTCAATTGGAATTCTGTATAATTTCGCAATAAATAAAAGCTATACCAAATGAATAGATTAAAATATGAGAAATTAAAGTAAAAAAAATAGAATTACATTGGATGATATACAATAAACTCTGCTTAATTAATGATAATGGGGCACACCAATAATTGCTCCAATAAGTCAAATTCTTGGCATCAGCATTCAGGATGTTGAGCTATATAGGATTTTGAAAGCCAATATCTTAAGTGGATATCTTTTCTCCTCCTGTATTTAATTGTGTGCTTAAATGGACGTGTTCTTACTGTATTCCAGAAAAGCTATGGGCACACAATTCATTCCTTGTTAGAACATCTTTATTAACAAGTTGCCTGTTTCAGTTTTTGCAGCAAGTTGGAAATAAACATATTTTCATTTGTGTTGCATTAAGTTATTCTGCAACCAATATGAAACGTCTTGATGCAGTCTGAAAGGTGAACAGATGGGATTTTATTTTTAGCTCACATTAGCACAGCCCATCAAACTCTCATTTGCCTGATATACCATCATAATATAGCTTACTACTGAGTCTTTAAAGTATAGCTTAGCCTGCATTGTTACATTCAAATGACAAAAGGCAACTATGTGATAAATATTTAATTACCATCATGATGGTGGTTATGTCACTGAAAACTAGTTATTGTAAGTGAATGGAAGAACTTTGGTTATAAAGAGGTATATTAGTAGACTATGTAGTGCTGAAATGACATCAGATTTTTTCAATTAGAATCTTTTAAATAAGAATAATACTCAATTTGGAAAAAACATTTGTGCAGAACAAAAGAGTATACATTCCTACACATCTGCAACTACAGCAGCTATGTAAAAATTTAAGTACCTTTTAATAATAAACTAAAACAATGTTATACATTATATTTATAACCAATTTTAATACACAATATCATAAAACAATGCACAGGGAAAGAAATGTAAGCAAAAAAGAAAAAGAAGATTTTAATTTTAAGATGAATGTTTGTAATATCAACCAATTGTCAATATACAAATTTGAAGTGCTAGAAAAAAACTACCACTTATGTTTTCTTTCACAGAAGCTTTTTGCCATTGAGGATCAAACAAATTCTGTTCACTTGGGAGTACACATTAGTTCAAAGCATTTTGAATTTGTTACTGAGTTCATGTGCTACTAAATAACCTGTCATGTGTATTCAGTGTCCTTTCTCCCACCCTTTTTCCTCCGTGCAATGACTACAGCCATGGGAGGCACAAATGCATACATGAGGCTGACAAGCAATAACTAGCCACTTTTCCATAAGTAGTTTTGAACATTTAAAATTTGGCTCTCTCATGGATCTATTGCCAAGACTAATCACAAAAATTAAGAAAAAATGGTTACCTTCTTGCAACGTTTGTTCTTTGGGATGTGATGCAGACATGTATTCTACATAGGGGTTTGCCTATCTGGAGTATTGAAGCTGCAGAACTTTGCCCAGCGGCACCCATGCCTTGAAGCTGTAGGCTCTCCTGTAGTCATATAATGGCAGCACTACATGGAACTCCTCAGTTCTCTCACCTTGAACAATCAGCAGTTAACTCCGGTGCACATGGAATGGAGAATGGGATCGTGGAATACATGGTGAGACCTAAATCAAATAGATACAGTGTGAAGTGAACATGAGTGAGGTTATATATATATTTTTTAGTCTTTACGGTACCACATGCCTACTCGTTTTTAAAGTTACAGACTATCATGGCTACCCCTCTGAAACATCTTCCTGAGGGTATATGGTTACCCCCCATTATGCACTTGGTAAAACCCCCACAAGAGGAAGACAGATTGAAAGGCAGCATGGTGTACTGATAGTACTGGCCAACCATGACAAATCTGAACAACATCTTGTGGTTTGGGAGGTTCAGGGTAGCAAACCACTCACAATAATTCAAGACAGGGAGCAAAGTTTCTAGGGTGAGCATACAGAATCTCACAGATCTGATGTGTTTGTTGAGATCACGGAGGTCAAGGATAGGTCTCCTCCTTCCCATGGGGTTGGGGGACTAGGGAATATTGAGTGTAGAATCCCCTGCCTTGGATGCTTCAAGGATATCTTTTATGGTCCCCAAAGCCAGGAAGGAATGACCTTGCTCAAGGAGAAGATTCTTGTGAGCAGGGTCCCCAAAAGAAATGGGGGAAGGGATGGAAAGGGACTGTAACACATAACTTGATCTGATGGATGTGGCTTAAACCATAAGACCCTCCCCATTCATCCTACCCATCCCTACACTATTCCTTTTCAGATCCAGTTGCTTGCTGCAATTGAGTCCCAAACACTGTAAAAATAGAGCCACCATTGAATGGGAGGATGGAAAAAGGAGAGACAATGTATTGCTGTCCTGCACACACGGTAGGTGCTCAGGGACAGTGGCGAGGGAAGAAAAGCTTTAATCAGAATCAGAGGACCTTCTCCTTTAGGATCTATGACTCTTTCTAGAGTAGTTCTGATGAAGGACAGGAAGGGAGAATTGTCCTGAGAAAATGCTGGAAGTAGTATTGCTGTTAAGTTGCCGACTGCTATAGTGGCATCGCTTTATTACCAGAATATATATACTGCCATAGCATCCCACGCAGCTCAGGAGTCTTAAAGGATCGTGGAAGTTTTTGTCAGTCTTTTCTGAAAGCAAAACCCTGCTACATAAACAAAAAGTCTTCAGTTGTATGCTTTGCAGCACATTAACTATCCTCAGCTTCATTAAAATAAAACTGGCCGCTGCATTGTGCTGGCTCAGCTGATTGTCGGCACAAAGCGACAGTCAAGACACGGATCGGTCGGCAAGGAAAGCCTTTGCTGACCAATCCTTTAAACCATGTTTCAGGAGGCATAAGGGTTCGGTTAGCAAAGGCTTTCCTTGCTGACCGATCTGCGTCTTGACTGCCGCATTGTGCTGACGATCAACTGAGCAGGCACAACTCAGCGGCAATTTTTATTTTAATGAAGTGAGGGATATTTAAATCCCCGCTTCATTGACTATGTCGGGTAGTCTAATTTACATGCCTCTGCCAGCAGAGGCATGTAGTCTTCACATACCCTAAGTGACTCTGGGTATGTCTACACTACCCCGCTAGTTCGAACTAGGGGGGTAATGTATGCATACCGAACTTGCTAATGAAGCCCGGGATTTGAATTTCCCGGGCTTCATTATCATAAAGCCGGCGCCGCCATTTTTAAAAGCCGGCTAGTGCGAACCCCGTGCCGCGCGGCTACACGCGGCATGGACTAGATAGTTCGGATTAGGCTTCTAATCCGAACTATCTGTATGCCTCGTGGAACAGTGGAGCTTACATGGCTCAGGGATGTGGATTTTTCACACCCTTGAACAATATAAATTATAATGACCCAAGCATCAAAATAACATGTGGAGTAGACAAGGTGTACACAAATGAATTAATGTGGAGTAACTTCCTTGAAAGTAAGAATAAGGGATCTTCTGGAAAAGGGCTTATTTTCCGCAAGACCCCGTCTAGACTGGCGCTTTTCTCCGGCAAAGCCCCAAGCCGGAAAAAAGCGGCATCCATGTTCATGCAAATGCCATGGGGGATATTTAAATCCCCCGCGAAATTTGCAATTCTGAAGTGTCTCATTAGCATCCCTTTTACGGAAAAGGGTGCCAGTGTAGACACACCCAATCTTGTTTTGAGTTCTGAAGAGCTAGGCTCTTATTCAGAGAAAGGTCTAATATTAAAGTCTCAGACTGAGCTTAAAAGAGACAGTGAAATTATGTAGAAAGAAGATTGGCACACTAATAAAGTTGAAAGGAGGAAAAAGAGAGTAAAGTTAGCTCTAAATAATTAATCAGAATTATAAACTTTAAGGAACAGGCCTATAAGAAGAAGTAACAATGGTATTCAATAAGTTTCAAAGACTACGTCTACCCTGCAATGCTATTTCTGGATACCAGAGTATCTCGAAATAGCTATCCCTCATCTTCACCGCAAGCCCGTCATTTCGGGCTCGCTATCCCAAGTTAAGGCCTTCTTTCTCCTAACTCCTGACTTAAAAAAGCATTGAAATAATACCATCCAATTTATAGAAAGAGGGTTGATGGCCAATTTGACTTGTACATTTATCTGATCTTTCCACTTACAGTACTATAACTGATGTAAAACTTGTCATGTAAGAAGTACATTGTGTCTGTTCCAGGACCAATACTTGAGAGTTTGTTTGCATATGTATTTGATATCTTCAGAATTCACACAAGGCAATATCAGCCTATATAGTACCTTCATCAATTCCATTCTCCACTGTCCCTCATTCTCACTCTTTCAGCTGTGTTCCTTATTACTTAGCTGATTTCGTTATCTGGCACTGTTTACACAGCACCACATTTCAAAATAAAGCGTTATTCCAAAACATCACTTAGGGTATGTCTACACTACCCTCCTAGTTCGAACTAGGAGGGTAGTGTAGACATACCCTAAGTGATGTTTTGGAATAACGCTTTATTTTGAAATGTGGTGCTGTGTAAACAGTGCCAGATAACGAAATCAGCTAAGTAATAAGGAACACAGCTGAAAGAGTGAGAATGAGGGACAGTGGAGAATGGAATTGATGAAGGTACTATATAGGCTGATATTGCCTTGTGTGAATTCTGAAGATATCAAATACATATGCAAACAAACTCTCAAGTATTGGTCCTGGAACAGACACAATGTACTTCTTACATGACAAGTTTTACATCAGTTATAGTACTGTAAGTGGAAAGATCAGATAAATGTACAAGTCAAATTGGCCATCAACCCTCTTTCTATAAATTGGATGGTATTATTTCAATGCTTTTTTAAGTCAGGAGTTAGGAGAAAGAAGGCCTTAAAACATGAGATTACTTCTCATAGGATTCCAGTCACTGTAGAGCCCTAAGCCCTAGGCTGTCAGGTATTTTCTGTTGAGGGAGGAATCTCTGTCAATCTCCCTGCTGAAGCTGTTCCATTGTTTACAATTGAGTCACTGGACCAGAGTGAGGGACACAATAACTCTACAGGGCACCCGCTTGGAAGTTGGGCAAGCCAGCGGCCAATGTGCCTACTCCAATGATTAATCATTTATCCAAACAAAAACAGTGAAATTTCCCCACCTCCTTCAGACTATTCCCATAGCTCTCTTTCCTGAGAGATTGATAACTCCTCATCAACTCCTGTTCCCCGCTCTCCCACATGGCTAAAAGTTATGAGGTGAACATCTTCTCTCCCTTGCTGACCATTATGTGTGGAGTGAGATGTCAGCCTTAAGTCACCTCACGCCAGGAGAGGAGTTCCTGGTTGTGGATCACAAGCAGCAATAGCAACCTTCCTGAGGTCTGGACTTAGACACCTAACTCTCAGAAAGTGGCGGGACTGAGGACACAGCCCTCTCAACTAGTTTAAGTAAATCCTTGCCTAGCACACTAACTTTTGTGGATCATAGTTTAAGGCACCTATCTAGCTCAGGCTTGGTGGATCATGATGATATTCCAGTGGTTTACCAGGTGCCTAAAAGTTAAGCATTGCAACACTTAACTCTGGCTCTGAGCCAAAATATCAAAGTCAGAAAGTCATTGATATAAGCAGTGTACTGTACTTTTAGCCATTCATGCTCTCACAGACACTACTGAACTAGGCCTCTTTGCAATACCGCTATTGTTGCAGTTGATGGATATTTCAAAAACAATTCCGTTGAACTCAATGATACTGTGTTGACTACCTAGCTAAACCCATTCCGAGTACACAGCTCAATGCACAAAATAGTGGTTCTTTCATAGAGAACACAAATAAGGAAGGAAAGCTGAATGTTTAGTGTGCCATTCTTCAGATGACAAGAATGAGCTTTAAACACAATTTAAACTGTCTCAGACTACACATCTGTAGTGATCTCATTAGGTATCTCAGTGAGGATCTGTAGTTTAGTAATCTATTTTCTGAAGCACAGTCCATTATTAAGTAAATAAGGCATGCTGGAAAAAAGAACAGTGATGATTTATTTTTTCTGAAAAAATGTGCAGCAACCAGCTAAAACTCAGCAACAATCAATACATAGATACTTGCATCTCATGAAATTATGTGCAGCCTTCATTGTGACATCAAAGCCTTTCTAAAGGTCTGAAATGCAGCAGTCCCACTCAGTGAACAAATTGGAAAAAATGAATTTGAATTTTAAGTGATACATACTCGTTTTTCAACTGGGACAGCCTGCCATCAATTGATACTGCTGTTTCTTAACTGACACGAAAGGATGAACAGGCTCAGCAAGAATGTGGTAAGTGTATGTTACTCATAGACTTATGGTTTGGCCGGATTACTGGTATATAAATTACCAGAAAATTGAATCTTTGGGTATTAAAACTTATGGTGACATTTATTTTTAGCTACATTACCCATTTTCCCTCTTAATTTTTCTATTTTCTATCAAGCAATTTAAAATGTTACCAAGTATTGCAGTGCGTATTTACAAAAATGGCACGGCTTCAATATTTAGAGAGGTAAAATATGTTATGACAATATCATAGCATATTTTAATGTCATCTATCATTAAATATCAGTACACTATCATAATCACAGTGTATAATGTTAATAAAGACATTAAATAACATGAATGAATTTATGCTAAATGTAAATGACAAGCTGATAAATACAGACAGAACTCATTTCCTACACATTCACAATATGCTGTTTAAACCACTGTTTGCTTTTATTACTTGCAAAGAAATTATTCTGAATGTTCATATTAGATTATCATAGATATGGCATCTTCCTATTACAACTTTCTTGATATTCATGTATCAGTTTTTATGTCTTATATCTTCCGATAGTTCTTAAGTTCTGATACAGTAAAGCATTATGTGCATCCACTTAAACGCCAGTCCATACCTATTTAATCAAACACTTAAATATGCATATGAAGTATGTAATAAAGTTAAATAAGGATGAAAAATGAAGGATGGTTTGCTGAATTGGTGTCTTAGGTACTCAGGTCATAACTGAAGACATGCCATGTTTTCCCTCTGTGAGTTCTAGAAGTCAGATCTGTCCCAAGCTTCCGCCACCTACCCCATATCCCAATTGCCCAGAATGGTTACTTTTGCTCTGAAAAACACACTTGGGAACTATTTGTTATTTCTTTCTATGAAACAAAGTTTTTCAGCCTCCTAACCAGGGATTTACTGGAAGTGATTCAAGCCAAAATTTCTAAGCTTGGTTGCCAAAAATGTATTAAAGTAAATCCATATTTAGGCCCCTATATAAGTAACATGATTTTCAGAGGTCTTGATCACCCACAACTCCAACAGCAAGCAGATGCCTACCATCCTCTGAAAAATCACAGCACATACTTTGATACATAAATCTGGATTATGGTGCCTGAATGTTTTCAAAGGGGCCTTAGTGACTTTGCATCCTCAAAGTCCTGACTAACCAAAGGAATGAGACAGAATCCCAATCAGTAAGAAACTAACTTCCCCCATGTGGAAAAAAAAAGACATGCAAGAAAAAAAGCCCACTACATAAAAGTAATGAAAAACTAATTCAAGATTTATCAAAGGAAAAGCACAACACGTATTCTACAGCTTCTTGTAGTGTTTCTCTAAAATGCTCCTTAGTTAGTGAAATGCATGTTGTTTTGATCAAGGATGATGCTGGGGGTGCCAGTTTTGGTCAGACGTATTCCTGGAGGTTTCACCACATCTCCTGATCTTTAACTAAATGTTATACATTAATTCTTGGAGACTCCCAGACAATCTTGGAAAATTGGCCACTGATATAAGGCCACTTATGGTGCAAATTTCATCACTTTATGAGATCAATGGCAGTTGCAGAACAAACTTTTGAACTTCTACAGTGTGCTTTGCAACTACATTAGATGTTACATCTTTTTCAGTGAGGTTTGAATAGCATGTGGAACACAATTACTGCAGAAGCTTACTTAAGAAGGTTTCATCTTTTTCTTTACTCAACATATGACAAAAATCTCCTTGTTAGATTTTTGTCTATAATCCTATGCAACATCTTCAGCAACATGATTTTTTTCTCAGGGTAGAAACAAATATTCAGCAGAAATATATTTTGCCCTGTATGGATGTTTGTATATATTGTCATATTCATGTTTAGCCAACCATCTTGCATTAACATAAGGTTTTTTTTTACATATTTTCAGTGCTGAAGATCAACAAAGACTGTTCCAAATGAAGATTGGAAGCCCTACTAGGAGGCCTGGAACAGGGAAAGCACTTCCTCTTTTAGCTATGATCCTAATCCACCCCATCCACACCCACAAACTTTCAGCTGTGTTGCTAACTATTCATAACTCTGTTCAATCATGGCTTCCATATTCAAGGATAGTTACATCCATCCGCAAGCCCTACTAGTAGCCTTATTTCTCTTGGATTCTGGATAGTGCTCTCGATTTTTCTAATAAGCATAATAAACCAATGATGTTCTCATCACTTCAGGTTTAATGCACTGAAATCAGAATCTGACAGTTCCAGTATTCAATATCTTTCAAATGGATTTACTTTAGAGTGACAGATGCATGATTTTCACCATCAGTGTGAAATAAAGTGCATTTAAAAATCAATTCATGGAAGTTTCAGATATTATATTATCCATTTGCCAACTTTGTGGTTTTACAAGTCCCATTGTTTCTATTTTTAAAACGACTTTTATTTTTTTTAACACACCCGCCATAAGCTGTTTGGGTCCCTGGGTTACGTACAAGATAGGGACTGTAGGTTTGTTCTTAAGTTGAATTTGTATGTAAGTCGGAACTGGTACATATTGTAGGGGAAACTCTAGCCAAACATTTCTCCAGAGCTCAGTTTTATTCTCCCACACCTCACTTCCCTCAGTCCTTTATTCTCAAGCTGAGGTGTCTGCTGAGAAAAGCCGCTCCGCGTCTCCCTGGTCTGCTGGGAGTGGGGGCGCTAGCTTCGCGTCTCTCTGGTCTGCTGGGGGGAAGCAGCTAGTGTGGGGTTGCCTCACCCCGTTTGTAAGTAGGGATCCGATGTAAGTCAGATCCATGTAACCTGGGGACTGCCTACGGTCTCTGTTTTACGCTTATACAGTATGTAGAATAATTGCTTGTGAGCAGTAGGTGCTATCATTATATAAATAATTCTAAGAAGTAATTGTTGGTTGATGATGCCTCTGATTCATTAATTGCAATAATACTTTGAAATTCTCAGATGAACTTAATTATTAGAAATAAAGACATTACACAATTAACTTTAAATCATCCTCTATGGAATGTAACCCCTAAAAGACGTACATTATGTCTCCTTCTCCAAAATGTCTCCTATCATTTCACTTCTTCTTCCTCAAACTGTAACGTTAAGAATTTCTTGAGATTTGCACAATTGTGATATAAAACTGGTCCCAATACTAAGTGAAAATAGAAAGGGAAAAAAAGAGTAAAAATATTTACTGAGTAAAATATATTTGGCCATGAACATGTAAAAATTATAGTTGGCAAATTAAATACTCCCAAGTATTTCTTTCTTCAAAGAGAGTTCTGTATTTCAGCGATGACATGCATATAATGTATAACAAGAATTACTATGGTAACAAAAAAGGCTTTATATCAAAAAGACAATACAAAGATTTTCCCCCATCTTTCTCATTGTGTTGCTAATATTGTAGGGTAGTATAGTCCTCAGAGTTGAGAAGTATGTGGAATATTTAAAACAAGAAAAAAATGGGAGTAAATATACTATACAACAAAGAACAATCCTGGACTGGCAGAGTGATGGTTGGATACAGAACTAGTAGGTAATTTCTACCTGTAAATTGCAAGATTCTATAATTGGAGTTACATGTTTCTATTCCACTGAAATTACAGATGATCATAAAATCATCTCTCTATATTTATAGATTACATCCTTTCTCACAAAAATGAAATGTTAATAATTTATGTGCATCAACAAAAACATAGCTAATCAATTTTAGGGTCGGGGGAAGGACATTCTTGTAAATAGAATACTCCTGGAATGTCCTTGAACCACACTGTTTTGGGAGGGGGACATGACACAATTCAAAAATCTATAAACACATGAGAGAAGTATATTAAATCTCTACTGAAAAACCCACAAGGACCAAGAGCATCATCAACAAAAAACACCACCAACCTCTGCACATCAAAAAGTTCCAGAGCTTTAAAAAAGCAAGTCTGTTATAAAATGCTCTCTGAAGAAGACAGGCTAGTGAATGCTTGTATAGATCCCCAGTCAATAATATAAAAAAATCATTTAGGGCTGTTCTCTATCTGGTATTAAATAATTCTTAACAAGCTAACATCAACCAAACTATTTCCTTCATTAGAGACCACAACTCCTTCTCTTAATGCTGGTGGACTAGCTTCAAAGCGGCATTTGACAACTTCATAACTCAAAAACAAACAGAAAACTAGTATGCTTGACACATCTCAGTTTGGATCTCTGCAACCCTCGCTTGTCTGTGACAACAGTCACCTAGCTTTTATATAGCATTCTTCACCTGTAGATATAAAAGTATTTTAAAAGAGTGAGAAAATACTGTTCTTCCAGCCCCTCATTTTATAGAAGAGGAAATGGGGGGAGGGGAAGGCAGGCAACATAGTAAAATAAGTAAATAAATAAATAAGCCCTAGTAGCAAATATCTGAGCCAGAGTCAACCAACTCATCTTGTAGGGCTCTGCTGCAGGACTAAAAATAGCAGTGTAGATGTTGTCACTGGTGGAGATGGTACTCTGAGACTCTTCCCCCTTGGCAGGTTTCAGAGCCCTAGTGCCAACCGGAGCTTGAATGCTCACCCAGCTATTTTTAGCCCTGTCAGCCTGAGTCAGTTGAGCTGAGACTTGCTGCGGTGGGTTTTTCTTATGGGTAGATGTACACAGGGGCTCAAATAGGTCAATTATCCAAGTCCAACGTTTCATACAGGACAGTCATTGGCTGAAATAGAAAGCAGGTCTCCTGACTTCCACTCCAGTGTCTTCTCAAAAGCACACTGCTGCTACCTTTGAGAGTCTTTCCTTTTTCTCCTTAATTGGTACCCCATTTATCCACCGAGAACAGGAAGAGTGTGGGGCTGTGTCCAGACTCCATGCCTCCGTCGACGGAGGCATGTAGATTAGCCAGATCAGAAGAGGGAAATGAAGCCGCGATTAAAATAATCGCGGCTTCATTTAAATTTAAATGGCTGCCCCGATCTGCCGATCAGCTGTTTGTCGGCAGATCGGGAGAGTCTGGACGCGATGCCCCGACAAAGAAGCCTTTCTTCATCGACACAGGTAAGCCTCGTGAAACCAGGTTTACCTGTGTCGATGAAGAAAGGCTTCTTTGTCGGGGCATCGCGTCCAGACTCTCCCGATCTGCCGACAAACAGCTGATCGGCAGATCGGGGCAGCCATTTAAATTTAAATGAAGCCGCGATTATTTTAATCGCGGCTTCATTTCCCTCTTCCGAGCTGGCTAATCTACATGCCTCCGTCGAAGGAGGCATGGAGTCTGGACACAGCCTGGGAGGGGATCAGGATTTTTAGTTAGGATCCTGTATAGAGATATAGAAACCTACATTTAGGCACCCCTTCCATAAACCTTGTCTTTCTCTCTCACTTTGTCCTCTCTAAACATATCAGAGGTGAGCCAAAATTTTTAAAAAAGTGGATAAGAATTGAGATCGAAATTTGGCTAAGGAGTCTTTCAATAGTTTAGGCAGGAAGCCCCAGCATTTTGTTTAAGCCCATCTTTAAGTTATATTTGATAAATAGACATATCTGAAGTATAAAATATTGCTGAATCTACAAATATAACTTCATTGTGGCAGAAATTTATTATAGCAATCAGGTTAAAAACTGCAAGAGCCACAGGAAAAGAAATTAATCACTGCAAAAATCTTTTGCTGAAGTTCTGGGATAAATTCTTTGTTTCCAGATTATGTAATAAATGAAAATTAATCTTTATCTTAAATTAATCTCCCTTGAAGTGCTTTTGTTTTATAGTCCATATTTACTATGTTTTAAAAAACAGCAGTTATCTCCTTTGGCAATATCCACCAAATCATTTCTTTAAATATTGTAAATTTGTGCGTACATAGACCAGCAACAGACTACAACTACAAATGAATAAAAAAGCCAATTAATTTTGGTGTGAGAAAGGCAGTTATGGGTGTCATTGGTGGGATGTTAGTGATACCCATAATTAATAACTACAAATGTGTCTGACCATGGTGTACGAATTATAGATATTTGGGGGGAAAATCCTTGTGCTGTACCCAACCAGAATAACTCGGTTGGTCACTGATCAGTGCATCTTTCTTTGCGCAGATGCACAAGTGGTTCTGTAACCATTCTGAGGAGAGTACTCAAGCCTATTGTGCCTTCAATTTATTAGCATCCAAAGGATCAAATATGTCCTGCCCCAGTTTCTCTCTCCTTACTGCCTTTCAGGGACTCCACATGGAACAGAGCTCCAGCAATCTTACTAAACACCCCCAGAGCATATTTCTCCACTGTCACAGAGAGAGTTCCGGCTCCTTTTTCAGCTAGGATATAGAGCAGGAGAAATCAAGAAGAATAGGATGGGAAGCTGGAGAGTAGTCAATAGGCAGAGAAGGAGCCACTGGTGGAGGCTGGGGTCCTCTACTAACTGACAATGTTGGGACCCAGTCAGCAAATACTGTTAATTATGTTGTTCTTTAGATCTGATCTCAGACACAGCCACCATATTTTTGAGCTGTACTAAAGCCCCACAGGCCCATAAGGAGGCGGCACACTGGGATCATTTTCTACTGTTGCCATCTCATGGAACGCTCTGCTGCTGGCATCCCTCTTAGGGTATGTCTACACTACCCCGCTAGTTCAAACTAGCGGGGTCATGTAGGCATACCGCACTTGCAAATGAAGCCCAGGATTTGAATTTCCCGGGCTTCATTTGCAAGGGCGGTATGCCTACATTACCCTCCTAATTCGAATTAGGAGGGTAATGTAGGCATACCGCACTTGCAAATGAAGCCCAGGATTTGAATTTCCCGGGCTTCATTTGCAAGGGCGGTATGCCTACATTACCCTCCTAATTCGAATTAGGAGGGTAATGTAGGCATACCGCACTTGCAAATGAAGCCCAGGATTTGAATTTCCCGGGCTTCATTTGCAAGGGCGGTATGCCTACATTACCCTCCTAATTCGAATTAGGAGGGTAGTGTAGACATACCCTTAGAGACTACAAGGCTACCTGAGCCTCTGCAATGAACCTGGCCTCATGTCCATACAAAGAATGGCATGAAGACTTTAAAGAACAGGTTTGTAATGCAGTGTATTTATGATCCACTCTGTCCCCTATTCATTTACCCCATGTAAATGAGAAATAATGATAACCGTGTGGCTAATTGACTAGTACTCTGATACACATGAAATTTGGGGGATGCTAAGAAACTCTGTGCTAAGGCTCAGATTCCCAGTATTCTTGTAACCTTGGCCAGCAATGGCAATAGCAGAACACCACAGTATTCTTCAGTATTAATATGTAGAAACAACAACAGCAACGAAGACCTTTCCAAGTGGGGATGAAGGACTGAATTAATGTTATAACATCAAATTGTAAATTCCTTTTTTCAGTGGCAGGAAGTTAAAGTATAAATGAATGTATTTTCTGTCATAATTATCGCAGTGTATTCAGAAAAGTCAGTATTATGTCTGTTCGAGTTTTATTGATTTAATCTACAATTTGAAAACCATTTGGGGAACTTCTATACATCCACAAAAGTGTTCAGTTACAGGACGAAGAACATTTCTTAGTTTCCAGGAGACAACCGAATTTTTGTGATTTAGATAAAACAATTTAAAATCACCACCAAACATGATTTAAACAAACAAAACCTTATAAAGTTTTGCAAAACTCAAACATACACACAAAATTCTTTGCCCTTTTTAGAGATTGAGGGTAGGACCCAAAATCTTTCACCAAAATGCCTTGAATTTTGAAAAACAGAGATAAATGTAATCTGAATCTGAATCACTCTTATGCTAAGGCTTGAAGACTTTGTGCATCCAAAACCACAACATCTAAAAACCATCTCTGTAGAATAATCTTTCCATTTGTTAATGTTTGACTTCTACCTTAGAGAAGGTACATTTAACCTTTTCCTCTTTGGGCAGAACATAGATGAATGTGTATGAACTTTAAACTGTAACAGCTGTGTTTTGATTGACCTCCATGTGCCTCCAGCAAAGCTTGTGCAACATTCACCACTTAATATTTTAAATGTGTGCTTCAGTAAAGGTCAAAAAGGGGGAAAAAATAAAATGCTTCAAGGCCATAAATATGTTAGCAGAGAATAAACCATTTCCTCATTTAAGTGCCCATTTAAATATACATCTCTTTGTTGAAGGTAAGAAGCCAGCATTTTA